ACTCTTACTATATAACTATAAAATAGATTTAAATAATAAATCCCAAAGTCTAATAAAAGAAGCTAAAATAATAGTTAAGTCTCATCTTCACATTAATGAACTTCAGAGAGAAAATGCTGAGAAAAAATTTACCCTTAGTGTCTGCGCAAAAAGTTGATAATATATTTCTATCAAGAGAAATAAAATGATCTAATTTACTAATTACGACTATTGAATTCTGCTTTTTATTTTCTAGTTTTAACAATTTATTATCATAATCAGATCGATTTATCCTTTTTAACATATTCGCTCTAACCATATATATTTTTGCTCCCCTAATATCCTCATTTAACTCACTTATCGAAAGATAGATTCATCTCTACATTTAATAGCTCATATTTTTCTATCTGAAGGCAAAAAATACCCAATTCTTATGACAATCTTAAAGCTTAAATCCTTGCAGCTGTCCTCTAATGATCTTCTAACAAGAACAGTCCGACGGCTCATTTTGAGCTCTACAATTTAAATCTCATAAAATAGGTCTGACTTTATGAGCCTTACTATTCATATTTTTTCACACCAATTAGAAAATCTACTATTTTAAACTATAAGCACTTTAAGGATTAAATAAGATTTGTTTCAGACTTGTTCCAATCTTTAAATTATTAACAGAAATCATTAATTATGCTTAAATAGAAATGATCAAAAGAAGAATGAATCAATCAATCATAGAACTCAAATTATGTATATATAAAAATCAACATATTCTATATTTTTCATGAATCAAGCAATGCATATGTTGAATTCTCAATAGCATATTCTACCTTAAATATAATCAGTTCCATATCTACAAAACGTTTGAACTGCAATCTTACAATAATATATAAGATACTTTCCTCAATTTTGCAGTATATAGCTTAAAGTTAAAGTTATAGGAATTGAATATATTCATATAAAAAATAAATGCAGTACACTTTTTAGGAGAATAAAGCTTTAGCTGAAATCTTTAATTAAGTAAAAGATGTAGATAAAAAAATCTTTTTTGTCATATTTAAAATATTAAAGTTTAAGATTGCATTGCATATCTTTTAGAAAATGAGAATCTAAGACTATTAGAGTAATAAATCCAACAATTAGGAGAGAATTTATCGAAAGCTGATACAGAACAAAAATTGTATGTTGTTAGAAATGACATGAAATTACAGATATCTTAAAAAATTTTTAAATTATGACTTAAATAAGAAAGATTTTTCTTCTGAAGAAAACGAATAATCTATATTAAGTCTTAATAAAGCAAAATAAATGGACCATAGAATTTTGTAATTTTTAGTTTACCTCACATCTATTGAAAACACTTTAATATAATGTGGGTCTAATCCATTACATTTATTAGTTTAGCTGAAGGCAGACCTTAGAAACAAAAATTTTCAAAATATTAAAAACTAAAATACTTCTTTTATTGATGCTAATTTGTTAAGTGTAATTTGAGTGGATCTTAATTCAATACTGTCAACATAAGTGGAATTAATCTGAATAGAGCATAATTATTTAATTGTAAATGGAGACTTGAACTAAATAACTTGGATGGTCATCGTAATTGTGTGAATTCAGTCTCTATTTCATCTGATGGAAATACATTAGTTATGATAGTTCTATCCGTCTATGGGATGTCAAAACAGGATAATAAAAAGCCAAATTAGATGGTCATACTCATAATGTCTATTCAGTCTGTTTCTCTCCTGATGGAAATACATTAGCTTCTGGTAGTAATGATAAGTCTATCCGTCTATGGGATGTCAAAACAGGATAATAAAAAGCCAAATTAGATGGTCATACTAGTACTGTCTACTCAGTCTGTTTCTCTCCTGATGGAAATACATTAGCTTCTGGTAGTAATGATAAGTCTATCCGTCTATGGGATGTCAAAACAGGATAATAAAAAGCCAAATTAGATGGTCATACTAGTACTGTCTACTCAGTCTGTTTCTCTCCTGATGGAAATACATTAGCTTCTGGTAGTAATGATAAGTCTATCCGTCTATGGGATGTCAAAACAGGATAATAAAAAGCCAAATTAGATGGTCATACTAGTACTGTCTACTCAGTCTGTTTCTCTCCTGATGGAAATACATTAGCTTCTGGTAGTAATGATAAGTCTATCCGTCTATGGGATGTCAAAACAGGATAATAAAAAGCCAAATTAGATGGTCATACTAGTACTGTCTACTCAGTCTGTTTCTCTCCTGATGGAAATACATTAGCTTCTGGTAGTAATGATAAGTCTATCCGTCTATGGGATGTCAAAACAGGATAATAAAAAGCCAAATTAGATGGTCATACTAGTACTGTCTACTCAGTCTGTTTCTCTCCTGATGGAAATACATTAGCTTCTGGTAGTAATGATAAGTCTATCCGTCTATGGGATGTCAAAACAGGATAATAAAAAGCCAAATTAGATGGTCATACTAGTACTGTCTACTCAGTCTGTTTCTCTCCTGATGGAAATACATTAGCTTCTGGTAGTAATGATAAGTCTATCCGTCTATGGGATGTCAAAACAGGATAATAAAAAGCCAAATTAGATGGTCATACTAGTACTGTCTACTCAGTCTGTTTCTCTCCTGATGGAAATACATTAGCTTCTGGTAGTAATGATAAGTCTATCCGTCTATGGGATGTCAAAACAGGATAATAAAAAGCCAAATTAGATGGTCATACTAGTACTGTCTACTCAGTCTGTTTCTCTCCTGATGGAAATACATTAGCTTCTGGTAGTAATGATAAGTCTATCCGTCTATGGGATGTCAAAACAGGATAATAAAAAGCCAAATTAGATGGTCATACTAGTACTGTCTACTCAGTCTGTTTCTCTCCTGATGGAAATACATTAGCTTCTGGTAGTAATGATAAGTCTATCCGTCTATGGGATGTCAAAACAGGATAATAAAAAGCCAAATTAGATGGTCATACTAGTACTGTCTACTCAGTCTGTTTCTCTCCTGATGGAAATACATTAGCTTCTGGTAGTAATGATAAGTCTATCCGTCTATGGGATGTCAAAACAGGATAATAAAAAGCCAAATTAGATGGTCATACTAATTATGTCTACTCAGTCTGTTTCTCTCCTGATGGAAATACATTAGCTTCTGGTAGTAATGATAACTCTATCCGTCTATGGGATGTCAAAACAGGATAATAAAAAGCCAAATTAGATGGTCATAGTGATTATGTTAACTCAGTCTGTTTCTCTCCTGATGGAAATACATTAGCTTCTGGTAGTGAAGATAACTCTATCCGTCTATGGGATATCAAAAACAAGTATTGTTTAGATTACAAGATACCCTTTTTTTAACACCCCTTTGCAGTAAAAGAATATTATTTAAAATTTAGATACATCTAATATTATGGTTTACCCAGACTTCAATTTTTCAAGGTTTAAGAGAGCTTTTTTATAAAAAACCGTTTCCTTTTAGTTTTAGGAGAATTGTTGGAGTAACACTTGATTAATTTAAAAACTAACCTATATTAGCCCTTAATTTAAAACTATTTTAATATACTTCTTGTGTCCGATATTGGTTGAAAGAGTTCTATTTTATAGTTTTTTTTCTTTTTTAACAATCTTGATTACTAAAATGGAAATTAATTTAGCACATTTTAAAATAGTATGAAATAGAACTTTTAGTTGCAATAATATCTTAAATCTTTGGATACTGGTTTTTTTTGGTATTATTCTTATCATTACCAAGCATTTTCTATCAATTTATATTTAGAATGTGAACTGACCAAGATTTATAAAGTACATTCTACCACCAAATGTTTCGACATTTATCATTTTTAAGTTTTCTATTCATCGTATTTCTTGAAAGTCAATATATTCTAATATTCTCAAAATAATATTTTTTTCAACTCATATTTTAGTAACACTAATACTATTATTTTTATTAAATTGATTTTATAAACTTTATATTTTAACTTTTTAATTGGAAAATTTTTATTAGTAAAATACTTAGTTTGAAAATTTAAGAGAAAATACCCAAACTTTTAAGTGTGACTAAAATAAATGCTTTTTTATATATTTAAATAATTTATTGTCCAATTTTTCTTAGAAGGTTGTTATAGTGAATATAAATTGGAGTAAGACTATCCATTATGTTTATCAAATATAACCATTTAATGAGTTTTTAAAGATTTAAAGGATACTATTTTTGTATAGATATTAATTAATTTTGTAAAAAAATCATTTTGAAGGTATAACTGTGATTATATTAGTTCTGAATCTTTAAAAAGCTGTGTACATTGAGTAATAACTGTTTATTATTTGATGTATGTAAAATTTCAAGTTTAGCTCAAGTTTATCAATAATTAAGATTCATTTATAATGGATAGAGAAGATATAATTATCTCCTTAAATCTTAATAATTTCAAAATTATAATACTTTTTTAATATTTTTTCAAAGTTTTTGGATATCTTTGTCAATTAACATGTGATTGATACATTATCTTGAATTGAGAGTAATATTAAAATTAATCAATATCATCTATTGTTAAATTTGTTATATAGTTTAGATTATATTCTAAGATTAACTTTATTTTTTTAATCCTTGTTATTTTCTTTGTTAGTAAATATGTATTTTACTATTTATAAACTAATTTTACAAAATTATTAATTATATCTATTAAAACTTATGTTTATAAATAGTAATAAATTAAATAAATTATCAGAATATCTTATGAAATAATCATGCAGTTTTTTGTTAAGTTAGTTTTCAATTAAATAATTAAAATCAATCTTTAATCTCTTCATTTAGCTTACTGTTCTTTGTTTGGATTATTAATTTAATGTAGTATCATTTAACATTAAATCTCTATAAATTTTAATTAATATCAGTTTTTTGATAAGTAGATCTCAATAAATACACCCTACATTTCGTTAAAATGGAATACTTTTGAAACGCATGTAATTATCTATCTTAAGAAATCAAAAATAAGAATAAAACCAAAAAAAGATATAATTTAAAAAATATAAAGAATGAATTTAAATGATAATTGTTGTAATGTTCTTTATGAATAATAATTATCACTTTTTCTGAAAGTCTTCCAAAAAGCAACTTCCTTTTTGTTTAAACAATGTCTTTAAATCAATACCTGATTGATTTATAAACTCTCCTTTCAGAATTAAAGCTCCTTTGGCTTAAAATATTGCTTCTTGGGATATAAG